CCCCCCCCCCCCCCTCTTTCGTTGTTTCCCTCTTTTTCACCAAAAGGCGATATCAAACGTGCGATCCACCACCTTCTTTCTCCGGCGATGGCAGCAAAGACCTCTGACGATAGCTTCGATAATGTCCTCTTCTTCTGCCCCCACTTTCAATCGCATATAGGTCGTCTTCTTCTTCTTCTCCCTCCAATCGATCACCATATGTGGGTCCTTCTTCCTATTCTCGCTTCAATTTACAACCATAAACAAGAAAAATGAAAGCGCATTCTCTTTTTTTTTTCCTTAATCAAGCAATTACCCAGGTATATTGCTCTCAATCGAACACACCCCTCACCTTCCCGTTTCTTGTTCGTTACAGATCAAGTATAAAGCACCCTCTTTTTATTTGTGCGTTGTTTATCTCAATGAAGCGAAGAACGGTTATTGTGAATGGTTAAGATGAAATGGTTCGTTGTTGGCTTAAGGACTGCTAGGAAGAAGAACAAGGGAAAAGGAGTCATAGATGGTGTTTTCGAAAGAAAAAAAAGTGATGGTCGATCGTTGGGGGCGGTGGTCCTGTGGTGGTCATGGTCCGGCGGTGATGATAATTTTCTGTCAATGGATTTAGGGGATGGAGGGTTTAAAAAGGAAGGGGTTAGGATAAGGTGGATGGAGTTTTTTAATTTAATTTTGTATATTATAAGTAATTGTAAGAAAAATAAAATAAATAAAAAAAAGAATAAAAAGGACAGAATAGTCATTTTATCTCTCGCAAGGGATGAATCGTGTATATTTAAACTAACGAGGGATGATATATGCTACTTTTAATCAAATGAGGGACGATCCGAATAAATTTTTGAAAATATGAACTACACCTGCACGAGAGACGATTCGTTTAATTTACTCTAAAATAGGTGATAGATGATACCTTATAAATATCAAGACGAAAAAAAAACTTTAAAGTATGTTTGTGTTTGGTGGCCATGACTATGCTAATAAGTTAATAAGCGATTATCCAAACATTTTTTTATTATAAATTGGCTTTTGCATTGGTTCCATTAGTTTGCTAAAAAGCAGTGTTGCAAATATCGGCCTAGGCGGCCGATTAATCTGCGCCTAGGCGCTTGGCGGTCCTCCACCGTCGACGTTTATAGCTAATCGAACCCTATTATCGGACGTAGTCAAAATCGGTCAAAGACGGAGATTATCGGGTCTAGGCGGGCCTAGGCGCCCTAATCGGTAAAAAAAAAAAAAAAAAAAAAAAAAAAAAAACTTTAAGGGCAAAAGTTTCAAATTGTTAGAATTAATGCTAGGGTTCTTCTCACTCCATCGCATTCATTTCTTTTCTTTTTTGAAATTCTCTCTGTAGTCTGTAGGAACGAAAGAAAGCATGAACTGAAGCTTCTAAAACGATGACATCTTCTTCTTCGATGCCATCCGTCCTTCCTCCGACACCGTCTTTTTCTTCCATTCACGTCATCGCAGTCCGTCAGTCGTCATCCTCAAAGCTAAACCAGTCTTCGCCTTCTAAAGCTTCTACAACATGCGCCACCTCTTGTGTGTTATATATCAATAATCAGGATGTAATCATCGATCATGGAATTCCCACATATCCACAGCCTCCTGCTATTGAATTCCCTCAACATTCACAAAGTTCCAAATGCAGTAGACAACAGGTTGCAGGTCCACATCTCTTCCCGATGCTATTGGAACCCATTGTTCATAACACTTTTTTCTCCCCATTTTATGCAGACTTGGATCCAAATGCAATTGTTGGTTATTTAGATCTGATGTATTAGGGATCAAAATGGTTTTTGTAATAATAGTATCATGTTATAATGTTATATTTATTAATTTTTAGTAACTTTTTAATAGATATAATGTTATATTCTTAGGATTAATGTTTTATTTATTAATTTTTTAATAATTAATGGTCACCGATTAATCCCCCGATTAATCTCCGCCTAGCCGATTAATCCCTTGAACACAGTCCACCGCCGAGCTAACGTCGAACGATTTCTGCAACCTTGCTAAAAAGTGGTTTTTTGAGAATTAAAAAAAAAAAAAAAAAACTTTTGGTGCCTAACCTTTTGAACCATCCGGTCCGGTCCAATTTTCAAAACATGCTTGTATCTGTTTGGTTGAAGTTAGTTAGGAAATTCTATTGAATCTAAAAATAATAAGAAGATGAATAGGAAGAAAAATAGAAAATCAAATATCCTTGGACAATCTATCTTCATACTTAAGATTTTGATAGTTGTTATGTTTAATAAATTAATAAATTTTTATAACGTTTGTTATCATAAAAAAAATAGTTAACCGACTGTTTTATTCAAAATTCAATGTCTGGACAAACTTTGACATCAATTTAGCTGGTTGAGACCATCTACACAACGAATTAGAGAATTGGAAGACAACAACAAGACGATTTCAAAATTGAGAAGGAACTTGCAATTTTGGATAAAACGTAGGGACCAAATTTGTAATTTAGTCCAACTTAAATTAAAATAAAATATATATCAATTATAGAACAAGTCCAGAAGGAAGATCCTCATCGTTCAGTGACACATATCATAAAAAACTTAAAATGTAATTTCTCCAATAAAATTAAAGAATCAATGATGATCGAACTATATACATCCTTACAGAAATTCATGTTGGGATTGTATCTTGGGTTCGAGGTCAAGAACATAAAACCCCCAAAATAAAGATCATTATAAAAAAAAGACTCTTTTAAAGTCCTAAAATCATCCCCAGATCATAAAAAACGAAATTAACAAACAAATGAACATAATTGGAATGAATGATTTGATTAATCAGATCATAAGCGGTGTGTATTTCAAGCTTTTAATTTTGAGCCATGGCGGAAAACCCACCTGATCTCATCATCTCTTTAAATTCCGTAAAACTAACCATCCCATCACCATCAACATCCACCTTCATGATCATCCGCCTGCAATCATCCGCCTGCCGCCCTTGCTTCAGCCCTAGCGACTCCAACACCGATCTCAATTCTTCCACAGTGATAAACCCATCTCGATTTTGATCGAACACATTGAAGGCTTCCATCACATCCTCCTCGTTTTCCCTGTCGTCCATGATCGATTTGTACAGAGCACCAAACTCGTCGATATCAACACATCCGTCGTTGTTTTCATCGATGTTTTCGATCATTTTAACTAGATCCGAGTCTGGGATGAATATCCCCATGTTCTCTAAGGACTCGTTGAGCTCCTGTTTGGTGATTCTGGAATCTCCGTTTTTGTCGAACATCTGGAAGATGCGGTGGAGTTGGTCGGAATCCATGCGAGAAGAACGCGGTGTTGATGGAGGTGGAAGTAATGGAGTGGTGGTGGTGGTGAGGTCGTGGATCTGTTGTTGTTGTTGTTGGTGTGGATTGTATGAAGAAGGGAGGTAATGTCTGAGTTTTTTTGGAATGAGAGAGAGGAAGATTGTGTAGATGAGATTGTAGAAGAGGAAAATTCTGGAGCAAATTGCAGCCATTTTTAAGCTGGTTTTTGCAGAAGAAGTTGATGAAGGAAAGTGAAGGGAAGAAACATCTTCTTATAATACAAGGTGTCACTGGACATGGAGTGAGGGTTGGTTTACTAATTTATTTCTTGTTGCATAAAAAAGTTCTGAAAATGACATAATTATCATTTATTAGATATTTTTCAAAAAATAAAAAGAAATTACACAAATGACTAGAAATAAATTGATGGTATTTATAATAATAATAATAATAATAATAATAATGAGAAATAGAATTTAATTCCTTCCAACACACATTGAATAATTAATGAATTCCAAAACAAACCAAAAGCTATGCAACAAATTTCTATGTAATTTATTAACAATACCAAAAATATAAGTGAAATTTCCGAAACAAACCAAAAGCTATAAAACAATTTTTAGACTATTGCAAAAATAATAATAATAATAATAAAAATAGTGAAATCATATTTACTTATTTTATAATTTTTTTAACCAACACTCGTATAAATGCCTATAACTATAAGTTTAATATAACTTTCTCATTTATATAAATGATCAAATCATGGTGATACACAAACACTGTTCCACTCTAGGGTATATTAAGCACTTTGGGAAGTACGTATAGAAATTTCCAAATAATAATCATTTAGTTAAACATTGCAGTGCTATGTGTTTGCATAAAAATATAATATTGATCTATTATAAAAAGAATACATTATTGTTTTTTAATTTTGGTCGTTTTAAAAGCTTCAATGTTTCTTTTACCATGAACATGTTCCCTAGTTTTTCAAGTTACTAACTAACGATCATTACAATATAACATAATCTAAACATATGGTATAACTTATATAAATAACCAGTTAACTCATATCATTTTAATATTTTATCAAAGGTTACATATTTGATAGCATAACTTATATATATATATATATATATATATATATATATATATATATATATATATACATAAACAAGTATTTGACATATTGTTGTTCAAAAATCAGTTTTGAATTCGGATTATTTACAAGCAGTCAGTATCTATAAACTTTTTTTTACATATTATGTATATTTTAAACATTTAACTAATTCGTTATAACTTATTAAGTAACGTAAAATCAACCAGACTTATATAAATTTTTTTTGTTATGAAAAAGATGTATTTAATTTAAGAAATAAAGCAAGGAAACATTGTGACCTCATGGAAATCACTATCACGCGCTTGTATGCCTCGACTTTATATAAACGGTCGCTTGCTTAATGTTGCCGGCCCCTTTTACGCTTTCCGCGTTATTCCAATTTCATAGATCCGTTGAGCCTCTCCAACCACCTAAACACGTCTTTCTTTTATTGTTTTATAATGTAAATTACAATAATAGTCCCTACATTGTAGTGAAAAGTTTATATTTTGTCCTTTAAGTAACTTC